CTTCTCGCCTCAGTCTAATGGCACATTTATTACACCACAGCCCATTATGGGAACTGCATGTAAATAAAGACGATTATGTAACAGACTAAGGAATACGGTTAAGTAAACATAACCTTGATGTTAGATGGACGGCAGCCAACTTCTGACTGCACTTCACATTCTTTACTTCTTTTCCCACGCATAGTCTCATTGGATCCTTGCAGTGACCTTGAATTGCTTCCTACCCTTGTTCCTCTAGTTCACAGTGGAGGTGACAGTCTCAAAGAAATTAGAGTGATTTTCCTCAGATCACAATTCTACATGGCAAAGGTATGTGTCGATCTACACTTTCTGACTCCAAACTCTCTCTCTCTCTTGTGTTTGTCTTTGTGCCTTCAATCCCACGTGCAAATCATGACATTACATACACCACCAAAACAACAAACCTTTTGCTTGTTTCTCAAAAGTTATTAGCAATTGCAGAGACCACCAATGTCTGGTAACTTCGGCAAAAGAAAGCAGATAAATCCATGGCCAAGATGTGTCCTCGTCCAATGCCCAGTGGAACTCCTGAGTTTGACCTGAACAACTATGAAGCTTTCCACTTGTTTGGCTCTGTTTAGATCATGTGACTATTTTGGGGCAAGAAAATCTTCAGCAGAGTAAATACCCAGCCACCAGCAAAAGCCCACAATTAACATTTTATTCTGTATTCATTTGCTTTATTACACACCCATCTGTCTGTTCATCCTTCTTCCCAGCCAACAATTCATGCCACTTTTCTGAAATTGCAGCTATCAGTCAACTTTACTCCTAAATAAGACAACACACATTTCAGGAGCTACCCAGCTCAATGTGAAATTAAAGGGTGCATACAACAAATACACAAATATTAAGTGCGCCATTCAGCGGGTTTTGTCCAATGTGAACATCATCTCACTCAGACTGTAGGTGTGGAGTCTCAGCCTGCTCTAGACTGCCCTCCCTTCTTAGACCATCATCCACCATTTTAAGATATCTCACCATCTCTTATTTTCTCATTGGCTACACCTTCAGGTGAATGGAGACTTATCTTGCTTTTCCATGCGAGGATTTTCTGTGAAGATAATGTTTCTAAGATATGTTCATGTTGTTTTGAGCACAAGGAGTTAGCTATTTTTAATTGTTGGGTATAATGATATCTTTTAGGAATATACTAATTTCTTTAACCATTTTCCTCTTGGTAGAAAATTAGGCCATTTCCAGTTTGGGGTTCTTCCAAATAAATCCTACAAGTACTTTTGTATGGATCTATCTGTGAATGTTTTTACCGGTCTTGGGCAAATACTTAGGAATGGAACTGCCAGGTCCTAGGGTAAATGTATATTTAGTTTTAAAAGAAATTGCGGGGGAGTTTTCTCCAAAGTACTTGAGCCATTCTAACTCCCACCAGCAATATACCAGAGTTTCTGTTGCCTTGCCGTTTCTCACCAGCTTTGGAGTTATCAGAACTTTTTTTTAAATTTTAGTCATCCCAGCAGATTTTTCACCATATTACTTTTATTTATAAGGCAAGGATCTTCAGCAGTTGAGAGTTTCCATTTTCAAAAGATGCCTTGAGTGGTGTCTGCTTTCAAGTCTTCCAGGGACTGGAACACTCAAGTCTTCTTCAGTGAACTTGTGAGTCAAATGAAAGCAGGTTTATAATTTAGTGTCTATTTTAGATGGGTCTGGGCTTCACTTGAGTTCCAAAATTTGAGTTCTTGATATTTTGTTGGAACTAAATCTTAGGGACTTTTTTTTTTTAAATAGCATCCAGGCTTTCAGATTAATCACAATCATCAGTTTGGTTCTTGACTTAAACTCAGTAAAAGAAAAAAAAATCACAATATATCCATTAACTCCTAAACTTCCTTTGGATGAATTAAGTAAGCATCACCAAGGGGTGCCTCTCCTGACCTAAACTTTGATAGGAAGTGAGTCATTTGGAGTAAGCACAGTAAGATTTGAAAAGTTCTCACCAAGGTAAATTGCTTCCAGCTCATGCAGAGGCCACGGTTCTCGTTTTTAGTTTAATGTCAACTCTTCTTTAGGTCTTGTAATTTATCCTTAAGAATTTTCAAGGATATTAACAGCTTTTTGTTTGAGTCTTTACTTGTTTTGTTGGGATATTTTTATTTTTATTTATTTATATTCAACTTCTATTTGTTATGAAAAATAACCTAAGTGCATTCCATGCTTCTCATGAAATGAGATGTCCTGGTGCTTGCCTGTCAGGGAGGCAGAAGCAGAAGGGTAAGGAGTTCAAAGCCAGCTTTAGGTACAGAGAGTCTGGGGCAAGCCTGGGCTACATAAGATCCTATATAGTTGTTGAAGCAGTGTTTAATTTGCTATTTGTAACACTAGTCGCATTCTAACAACTGGACAATGTGACTTTTTGTGTACTTTCAGGAGGAGCAATACGCTTCAGGGCTCTGAAATGGAAGGAATAAATCGCTCATATGCAGAGGCTAATGCACTCTGCTCTGGGCAGTGCAAAACAGAAACACAAGCGAAGCCTTAGCTTTTCAAACTCTGCTCTTTAGGACGCTCCCTTCTTCTCTATGCTTCAGTTTGTGAGTTATGAAAGGATAATATGTGAGAATGTGTAGGAAATTCAGGAAATTCATAGTGCAGCTTTAGCATCGGTTAATTTTAACAGGCATATTGTTTTTCCGCCACGCTTGCTCAGCCTCTTCCCATAATATTTGTGAGGGGCACAAAGATGCCGGTTCCTAGAAAGCCTCCATGAGGGCAGGTGACCCCCTTGGAAACAATTTGAATTAAACATCCCAGTCTCTGTTCTGACCTGCCTTTCCCAAGAACATAATGCATTGCTTTTCTTTCTAGTTGCAAAATAATAAAATATGCTGGCTCAAAGGATATGTAATATAGTAGTGTTTTTGGGAACTAAGCCCCCTGGGCATATATTTTTCTCCTTTAAATATAAGAAGACCCTACGGCTTGGAATGACACTGTGTTAGCCAGTTGTCTCACTCATAAAATGTGCAGAACATGTGACAGATTTCCTCTAAGGTTTGTTTCTTTTCCTCATTTCCTTTCATCTGCCTATGAGGCACCAGGACCGATGTCATAAATAGATGAAAATAGGGAACTGTGATTGAGACAGTTAAACAGCACAGAAAAGATCCATTTGCCTGTGAATGTTTTCCTTCTGGGTTACGTTTGGAATATGACGTTGCCTTCAGATTTTTCTATGCAAAGCTGTGTATTAACAGATAATACACCAGAATCACAGGATTTTTTTTCTTTTATTTGAGGAACTGCTAATTGCAGTATTCCTTCAGAGTCTAGCAGCACCATTAAGAAATGGGACACAGTCAGAGAAATTTCTAAAGACTAAGGGTGATATAAAATTGTGTGTATGTGTTTGTGTGTGTGTGTGTGTGTGTGTGTGTGTGTGTGTGTGTGTGTGTGTGAATTTGGAGTTGGGAAGGCCTCACTATGGA